AGGGCAGAGACTGTGCTGGTGAACAGTATGTACATGTGTGTGTTTGTGTGTGTTTGCAGTGAGCGGTGCTGTGCCATGTTGCAGTGGCAACCAGCCCAAGGCCTTGGGGATGCCAGCTAGCTGGCGGCAGAGTATCAACAAAGCACAACATGACACAACATGGCTGGACTGCAGCTGAGCCCATGGTGAGTGTGGTGAGGAACATTTGTGTATTTGTCAGTGTGTGTGTGTGTGTGTGTGTGTGTGTTTGTATGCCGAGGCTTTTTATACGTATCGTATCGGCCGACACTATACAGTATGTAGACTGTATGGTGTGTGGGTACAGGTAGGGTGAGGACGGAGGATGCTGTGTCATTGAGAGAGGGCTCTAAAGCCTGATTTATGGTCCTGCAGCGTACCTACAACATACCTACGTCATTGCCGTGACGCCGTCGTGAACCCTTCGAACTTCTCCGTCACTCCATTTTGTCGCAGTGCAATTCACCGCCAGAGCGGTAGGAGGCTGCGTTCCTTTCCTGAATGGTTATCATCGTCTCTAGTTGATTCTTTGTTTAGCTTCCGGCTTTTCCGGTCACAGAGAAATGAACGCGGAGCACGGACAGACGGCTCCGTCCGTATCCGTATTGAACGTTGAGCATAAATGGGCCTTAATACTGCAACATATGTGCAACATCTACATCGCAACAGAAGATGTTTAAAGATGGCGGGGATGGCGCAATCTGGAAATACGGAACTGGAAATGCGTTGCTACCAAGCAAACCAATCACAGCCCTCTCGGTCTGCGCTGGGTCTGCGTCGCCTCGACGTGTAGTTACATTTTTGAGGAGGTGAACGTCAGGCTAAGCCGGGGGCTACGGGGAGCCTTCTGCGTAGCCACGTACCCTACGACGTAGCGACATCGTTGATTTAACGCAGGACCATAAATCAGGCTTAAGGGTGTGTGTTTATGTGTAAAAAGGAAAAGGAAAAAAAAAATCACTCTTTTTGCACCCGACACACTTTTATGCACACACTTGTAATTTAGTGTCTAAGGGAACTAAATCTATATCAACTTAAAGATGCTATACTGTATTTTTATGTAAACAGTGGATCTAATGACTGTATGTAATGTGGAAGGAGTCGCTCATGGTGTCATTATCACCTAACTCTGCAGCCCCTTAATTTCTAATGCCCATTTCAGACCAAAGATTCGCGACGAGACAAGTTCAAACAGGCAGCTACTTACAATGTGCCGTTCTGCAACGTTCTAAAAACCTGCTGGTTCACACTAATGCAACTAGATGAGACAGTGTATCATCTCTAGTCAACAACTCTCTGTACCTCCGCTCTGATTTGCAGCTTTCCAAGCTTATTTTGTGGCTGAATATAATATGTAGCTTCTTAAAATATGAATGAGGATAGTGATAGTGAGATACTGGCTACAGCTGCACTTGTAGTAGTGATGAAACGGCCAAAAAATAAAATGAGCGTCAGATGGACTGCATTTATCATAAATATGCCACAATGATATAAATAACCAGCGCCAATTAATCACTCAATGAGAATGTGTGTGTGGGGGGGCATAAGCACATACAGTGAGCAGCAGTGACCAATCATCCGACACGGGCACACGTGAGGACAAAAACAGAGGGCTCAGTGGGGACGGAGCACTTGCTGCAGCAAGTGAACACACCTTCTGCGGTCATTTTGACTTGACCAGCAGACTTAGCCACAAGCTGACTGGCTGTAGAAACAGGTGAAGTGCTTTACGTTCTACAACCAGCCAATATGACCAGCTAAGTCGCAGGTGATACCATCAGCCGGCTTCAACTGAGCTCAGACCGGCCAGATCACACTGCTGCAACTTTACTCTGCAACATTCTAAAATGGTTTTGTCTTGTCACAAGCCATTGGTTTGAACTCGTCTTGGAGCTTTTCCAATTTCAATACATTATTTCCATGGCCTAGAAAAGCTCTCCATCAAAGTCAGAAACCAGTCTCAAATTTGTGATGTCATCAAATATAAAGTATATAAAGTCTGGAGCTGCTCCATAGACAATGAATAGGAGACTTTAATTATTTATTTATTTTTTGACCCAAAGAATGGTTGTTTTTGTTTTTAAACCCAAATGATCTTTATTCTATTGTAGTGTTCTATATGTACCCATATACTATATATATTCCCCTGGCTGCTCTCAGTGTCTCTGTGTCAGAAAATCATTCCCTATTCATTGTGGAGCAGCTCCAGACTCTATACCTGGTAACGTCACAACTTTGAGTTTTACTGCTCTTGTTTTTAGATTTAGGACAGAGTTGTTCATGTTTACTAGTATTTTTTTGCGCTCCCTTAGGTTATAGGAATCATATGTATGAATTTTGAAAATGAGCATTGGTCCTCTTTAAGTGTCTTTTAGCTCATTGCTTTTTCTTTCTCTTGTATAAGGTGTGTTATCACGCTTATCACGACATAAATGTTTGGTTTTTAATTTACTAATAACAAATAGATATTGACAACCAACGATTACTTATGAAATATTTATTAACAAAATGATTCAAGAATTAATTTTAAACTTTATATTATAAGATAAAAAAAAGATAATATAATATTACATCAAAGCACCAATAACACAGAAATGTAAACCTGAAATAATGTAAGATAATGTGATGTGTCACACTTATATTCCCTCAGGCGAACAGCAACGAACAGGTCCTCTGTGTAGGTTTTTTAAACTTAAGTAAATTACATTTTTAGGTAGAGTTTGCCTCTGTTTTAGGAAATGGGTGTGCACAACATTCTGATTTAAAAATCAAAATAAAATTAAAAATTCATTTACAGCTTTTCATATAGGCCCAGTTGAATATTGCAGTAATAATGTGTGGTTATCACAAAATCAATAGCCACATCATTTGAGAACCACTGCTTTATATTGTTCATAATAGATTATCAGTATATTTTCTTGCCAAATTCACTCATGGCTCTTGGAAAAAAAAAACCAGACACTGAAACTGTTGCTGCAGATCACAAGCCCGCCATATAGCTTGGGGCTGCGGCACATCCAGTGTTTCCAGCTCAGATGGTTAACATAGGCGCTGAAAGGAAACATCTGTGCTCCGCAAAAAAAACGTGCACTTCGCAGCACTTCGACATCCAGTGTGAACCCAGTGTTAGGCAGCTGTTTTATCACCAAAGCTTTGATAAACCCACCATACACTATGCAGCCAATACCAAACAGCAGACAGAAAAGTAGGAGAAAAGGAGCATTTAGCTGCATTTAGCTAGATATTTCCTCCAGGAGGTGGTAGAGGCCCAAACGGAGCTAAAAGAAGAATTCATAGTGGACTTACAGGGATAAAAACTTGAGTTAAAATAATTGCTAATGCTGCATCATACTGCCTAGATGTATAGATAGCCAACTGTTTGCTTATACGTTTAGCATAACTTCATGAGATAACATTTATGTCATTATGTTTATAGTTTATTTTGTTGCCCCAAAGTGGCCCAAAAAACTGAATCAAGTGAAATGAACTGAGTTCAAACAACTGTTCTTTGAAGACACGTTTCAAATAAATCAAACAAAAGCAAATAGACATCAGTTTGATAACACATGCAGGATATATGGAACCACACTGCAAACAGGAAAACACAAATAACACAGATGAGTTGTACGTCATGGCAGAGGGAGTTTCCAAGGGACACAATGCGCTGACAGAACGCTCATTTGCATGAAGGGTGCTAAATCAAACATTTAAATCTCTTCCAAGTTAGCTACAATATTGTCATCCTTCATCATCCACCCCTTGCATCCTTCCTGTCTTTACTCTCTCTGTCCTCTTCTTCCTCCTCCCTGTGCTCGCCTTTCTCCCCCTCTCCTCTTTTCCTCCCCTCTCCATCTTGACACAGTGCACTGAGCCTAATCGTGGATAATTGGGTGGGAGGGGCAGTGGGCCGGCCCTGCCTTTGTGTGCAAAGGGCAAGTGGTCAAGTTAATGGGGCCCTTGTGTCGAGCCGGGAGCACTCTGTCTCTCTCTTTTTCTCTGTTCGATCACTCACTCGGCCAGTCAATCTCAGTCTCTCAGTCAGCTTGTCTTTTCTTTCACGACTGAAGCTTTTTTCCCCGCTGTTTCGATCTAGTTTCACCTCATTTCCAGCGGTCTCACTTCGCCTTTCCTCACAAGCCATTCAGTGTGTCTTGTCCCATTTCTTTTCTCTCCTCCTCCTCTGCCCTCTTGTCTTTTTTCAGCCTTTCTCTCCCTCTCTCCGCAGCTTTTTCTATCTCTCCTCTCTGTCTCCCCAGCAGAGTGTTGGGGAGGAGAGAACAGACCTCTTTAAAATATCAAAAGACAAATCAGGAGGCCTCGCTGGTCCCTCCCTTTCTGCCAACTCTCCCTCCCTCCTTCTGACTGATAAACAGAAGAGTGAGCCTGCAGGATTAGCTGCTGTGTACGGCCTTCCCTCCCTCCTTTATCCCTCTCTCTTTTCTTCCTGTGGAGGGGTAGACTGTTGACTGGGCTTGATATGTGTGTGTGAGCACATGTGTGTGTATCTGTGTGTGTTACCTTGTCTGGCACCAGCTTAGCCTGCAGGAGGCCATTGTGTTTGAAACACAGGCCACAGCCGATCAGGGCCTAAAGGAAACTTTATTGCATCTGTGAACATTTAACACTCAATTGTTAATAATGGGACACACACATTTTACACAAGCAGCATTTCCAACCAGCTTCAACTATTATTATTAGTTGTAGTAGTAGTAGTAGTAGTAGTAATGTTATATTAACTATCACAAAAAAATCTAGACATCTGCAAGGTAACAGAGAATACATTGTCTTTTTTGTTTTTGTGATACTGACTAATCAAAGTAATTAAACTTTTATTTGTAATAATTGAATTTATTAGCAGCTTTTTGTGAGAGGTTTTATTACCAAAATTAAATTGTAGCCATAGCTGATGAGTTAAATTGTTCTTTGTACATTTTTAAATGGACACTTTAAAATGAAAAGTCCAGAGTCCCAAATTTCTAGAGGAAAATTTCTTTATTTTTTTCATTCACAAATAAATCACCCACCCTTAGACTGTCAAGTACAACATTCATTACCCATTGATTACTTTGAAGCAGAGGGAATTTGATATGAACGAAGAATGTCAATATATGCGGCCATGTCCACACTAAAATGGATTTTATTAAAATATGTAATTTAAGTAACTACAGTTTTGTTCTTGTGTCAAGTCCCAAAACAATATAAACCACATGATAATTGTACGTCGTATTTTTGAAAGTATCTGTTGTCCCTACAAAGTAAAATGCTACAGAAGAAGCGTCGACTTTATGCAAATTGGAGAAGTTTCTTGTAGTTCTGGTTTTGGTGGTTGAAAAAGGATCAGTGTCGTTCTAGATTAGTGTGGACATGGCCTGTAAAATGACCAACAATTCTGTTTGATAATAAAATAATAGCCTAGCTGAGATATCCCACAACACAGTGACATAAATCTATCGGAATAAAGCACTCCTGTATGATGTTTGCTCAGCTACAGCACATGACCTTCTCTGAATAACACTGTCCCGGCCAAACTTAGCAGGCAGTCTGCTAATATGGGCGGGTTGTCAGCTGATCAGGCTCACCTGGGCCCTTTAGCTATAAATGCTGGCCCCTGTGCTCACTCTGTCTCTCCCTTCCTACATCTAACATCCACTCTGAGCAATCTTCTTTTGGTTTTGCATCTTCAACACCGCCACAGACAGGCACATGGAAACACATTCGCTGCTTTCGTTGTTGATCTACTCACTCCATCCTTATTGTCTTGTTCACCATAGTTTAATAAATTGCTTGTTTTAATAGAACACTTCACCCCACACATTATCATTTGTTCATCAATGCATGTAAAGAATCCAAAGTGGGGGAAATTCTCGATAAAGTGAAGTCATAGGGGACCATGTTTAACACAGCAAAACTCGCTCAGTACTAACTAAACACATGCATTTTCACTCAAACTGCAATATTTAAATCACTTCTGTATAAACGGTCTCACACATACATTAACAGTTTTAGTGAAAATGCATGTTTTCCTAAACAAATCAAATGTAACACGGGGTGAGTAACTGATACACAAATGGTCATCATGGGGTGAAGTATTCCTTTGCGTAAACCTCTTGCGTGAACTCCCGCTTTCTCACATTCCCTGAGCCAGTGTGTGACACTGACCACCAGGGATTCGTTAAATGTCTGGTGATGTCACAGTGAGAAGTGTCCTAGCACACAACACTAATATCACAACAAGAAGTGACGGCATCACTGTGTGAAATGTGACATCACCGCCAGTGCTCGAAATGGGAAAAAAAAGTGCCAGTACTTATTCACATGTTGGCGTGTGAGGGATCGGTGTTTCATGGGTTGGTTTGCTCGTGGCAGGTGAATGACATGAATCTTTACTTAATTTTCTAGGTGGTCTGGTCGTCTCATCACTAATGGTGACAACAGACACAGGTGGTTTTACTGATGATAACGTTTACCAATACACCAATGGGCTCTTCGCTGCTAATGTTAGCTTGCTGCTCTCGGCCTGCTGTCTTCTTCTGTTTGTGTTGTTTTTGTGCTACACTTTTGCAGCCAGGGCAACGTTATTGTCATGTAACGGTACTTAGACTAGCTGACAGGTGAGCATCCCGTAGTGCCTCCAGTGCCCTCTGGGTAATGCAGTTCATTTAAGGCCATTCTGAATCTCCCAGAGAACCTGATATGGAGAGGGCAGAAAAAGACTACCAGCAGCTTGTGAGATGTGCCGGCATGAAAGAAAAAGTCATGTCACACCCAAGAGTAAACGTGGAAGTTCTGGTACTGCATGCCAGCGAGTACTGGACCTATACGAGCACTGATCACAGCAGATTGTTTGTGTACCAGGTGGAGACAGAGGCAGTGATGTTGCAAGAAGCAGCAACAGTAAACCGTGGCACCTGATGCCAAAGTGTTACAAAACACCACAGTCAGTGGTGGTGATGTCACAGCAGACAGTGATGAAGTCACTACACACAGTCACAGTAGGGATGGTATTTATGCGCTAGCCCACAAATATCAAAGGTATACAGCAAACTGCATTACAGATAAAAATGTAATTAAACACACTTCTAAACCTTTGCAATGGGACCGTTTTTTGCAATGCAATTTAAGCCCTCAAAGCATTGAGACCACTGATAAAACTGGCTTAATTTACTTTTCTGAGTAGTTACACACAGGGAATACCGCTCATTTCTGAAGGTGGATTATGTTTTTTTCAACATGAGGAATGTAAACAGCAGCCACTGAGAGATACTGCATAGCTTCTTGGCTGTTGCATACAGCAATGGATCACAGTGAAATATGGAAACACTTTACTAGTGATAGGTACAACTTTAGGCTCAGGTGATCCTCTGACACTTGGCGTTTTTTTTTTTTAATACTACAAGAAACAAGAAACCGATAAATGCATGGAAAAAGACCTGAGTAAAACAGTTAGTTGTGCTGATAGAAAAGAATGCCAACAGAACATGAAGGAGCAATTGGTCTGAAATGTGTGAAGGTTTCTGCTCTTGGTGAGATTGAAGAACTATGGTTGCACATAGTTTATCAATATTTAATCCTATTTTAACCCCGTATGTCCACTGGATGTGACTGCATCTGGTTTCTATTCAAGTGTGTTTTGTTTGCAGACACTTTTTGTGTTTTTCATGCATACTGGAAACATGTCTGCAGCTCGTTTATGATCACAGATACTTTGTTTTGTAGTTTAAATTAGCAGAGGAAAACTGTGACATTCCTTCCCTTTTTATCAGAGAAATTACATAAACAGGTGATATAGTTTTGCTGTATATTTGTAAAGAAGTGAATGCAGTTTTAAATTAATAGGCATTACATACATTCAAAAGTGAATGTAGCTCATCATAGACCTGCCAATCATGAACTTCGGAAGTAGATTGTCTGCACCCAGTGGACATGGGGGGTAAGAGATTTTCAAGAGGGCTGCATTATAAAAAAACAAGGAAAGAAAATATGCAAATAAATCCTGTTCCACACAGTGTATCACACATTTAAAAAACAACAACAAATCTATTGCACAGTATTGGGGTCACGTGTCAATAAATGCCATTAGTAGGAGTCATCACACTGATGTGCATGTGTTCTCTCTCTCTGTCTCTCTTTAGACTCACTTCCTGAAGGTGGGTTCAGACGAGGAGCGCTGAGCAGCTGCCGCAGGACCTGCTGAATGTTTGTGAACGAGTCAGGCTTCAGCTGGTGAGTCCCATTTCCGTTACCAAATATGTTTGTTATCAACTGCTGTCAGTGCAACCTGGAGGGGTCATGACGGCATGGACTTTGATCTGTGGCAGTTTAAAACTTTAACAAATTAGCAGTAAAGCAGGATGTGATGTTGCTGTGTACTAGTGCTGGGCGATATGGAGAAAATCAAATATTTCAACATGTTTTACAAAATACATCTATGGAGATTGTGACGATATTGTCGTGTTGACTCGTGGTGCTTTCGCAATATATTTACACGCTGAGATTTTTGATAACTAATCCTCAATAATGTGGATATACTGGCTGAGTGGATAAAGGCAAATAATACAACAGCTAGAACAGTCTGGTAAATTCAGAAAATTACATCACTTTACTGCAATGCAGCCTTTAAAGCCAGAAAGACAACACTTATGATATTCAGAATCTAAGATGACATGAATCATGATACTGATACGTTGCTCAGCCCAAATGAGTATGCAAGCTGTAGCTCCTGGGCAGCAACAGTTGCTCCTTCGTCTGAATGCGCCTTAATATGTTAATGTACTGTTGTAAGTAATGCACAAAATATTCTTAATACTGACCTCTGACTGGGATGAATGAGTTATATTAGAAGAAATTAAAGCGGGGGAAGAAGGGAACAAAGAGAAATACAGGAAACTGTGAGCTGCTCCACAGTCTGCGATGGTTAATGAATTAGAGCTGGCCTCCATGCTGGGGCCAGAAACACAGTGGCATAGGTTAATACTGACTGGTTAAAGAGGGCCAACTGACTGAATAGCTGACAGCTACAGTAGGACTGACGGAGGAAATGTCCACGTTAATGACTGACCTGTTAACAGACTACACATGTGGCTGAATTGTTGGCTGGAATGATGAATGGATTACTGGCTGATTAACCACCACATTAGGTAACTGAATGGACTGGTTACTTGTCTGGCTGGTCAGATGACTGTTTGGCAACGTGGCTCACTTTCCTGGATGGCTGATTAACTTAAGGGATGAGTGATTAGCTGATCCGAGCAGTGATTGGTCAACAGAGTGACAGGCCAACTGATTAAAGGGCCGGGTGATATTGTGGAGACTGACATTAGTTATTTGGCATATGGCAGATGGTTGAAACATACTAGGGTGGAGTAGATCCGCCTCTCCTTTTCTTCCTCCTCAGCCACAGTGAAAGTATCCCCACTGCTTTGGAAATGAGACGTTCTTCAACACTCCACTACAAAACATGCACGCTCAAATATTATCCAAAGCCATGCATCATCTGATAATAAATCCTCTCAGTGGCCAGTATTAGTATGAAAAATATCTCAGATATGACCACAGCTTGATTTGCTTTCTGCGACTAAGCACTTGACACTGAGACAAATGCACCCTACTGTTTTCTAATACTGCTCTTTCAGTGCAATTCTTCCTCCTCACTTGTGATCGCTTGTGGTTCACATTGTTGACATGACTCTGTAGCATCGTTCCGTCTCACATATCCAGAAGCATGTGGAGTGGTACTGTGTGGAGCAGAGGGCTCATTTGTTTTGGTTTACTGAATGTGGCTGACAGGTTGAGGTCCTTTGGTCAAGGTGATGAGGAGAGGGTAGTGGATGTTCTCATCATATGCGTCTTTTCCTTCTGTCAGCATCTGAAAAACAAACAATCATGCAAAGTGTTATCCACACTGACTATAAATTCTACACACAGTATTTATACGTATTTCAGTTTGGTGGAATATTTTGTCTGATTTCATCTGTATTTTGGGGCGTCATGGTTGCCTAGGGATTTAAAATGCTGACTGTGTGTTTGGGTCTGTGTTGCATGCAACTGCTCACCTCTCCAATGTCATGCTACTGAAATTAAGCAGACCAGTTTTAAAAAGGTGGTCTTGAGTACAGTTCATGTGCATCAAAACATGGAGGTGGACTGCTATTGAACACAAGTGGCAGTTGGCGATTAGAGTTGCAAAGGCATTTTCACTGCTGTCTGGTTTCTAAAATAAAGCTTCCATTCAGAATGACCTACCAACGTGATGTGAGCATTTGCAGTGCATTTAAGACATGAAATTTTTTCCAGAGGATGTACCCATACTTTCGATCACATAGATACTTCCTACCTGACATAATGAGTTATTCTATTTTTGACTACATTTAAAGAGGTAGTCCAGTGCAATCACTTCTGGTTGGTCTCTCTGAGCTGGTGGCTCAATTTGTCAGAACACCCTGCATATGTGTGTAGCACCCCTGGATCTCATCCTTGTAAGTAGGAAGGCAGACGAGAGGGTTATTCTTAAGATTGTTTCCAAAGTATAAACCATTGTGGGCATAATGCAAAGGTTGACTCTGTTGTATGGGCTTGGGATCTTGTGATTGGCGCTCCTTTCTGTAGCGTGTGACAAGATTAACAAATGTCACGTAGATAATGACGCAAGTTTACTCTGGGATGGATCAATATTACTGTGAAAATTGAGTGAGTGAGGTAATAATCTCTAATTTTCTCAGTATTTTCTGAGATCCTTCAATTTAAAAAACCCTGTCAATAACATCAAACCTGCAACATGACAGTTTAGATTGAGATGTGTAATTAAAGAACGCTGTAGAGCTCAAAAGCAGACGCTATTGAAGAAGATGGGCCGCACATCAACTGTGGATACATGTATCATAAACTAAAAAAGAACACTTTAACAGTTAGTATGAAATATCACCACAGCAGACCTCTTAATGGAAGTTTTTATGCCTTTCCTTATTAAATTGCTGTTCGTCCTAGTTTGCAGATTTCTGGTTTAGAGGCCTAAAATCACACCAGTTTGACACACAAAAAAACTTTTATGGATTTTTATGCACAGTAATACTAATAATTTGTTAGTCACCATTAAGATTAAGGTTAGTATGCCACATGGCGCTGCAGTAATAAATGGATTAAGGCTGAAATGGACAGTTAGTTTCATTACTGATTGATCTGCCAATTGTTTTCTTAATTAATCTATTAACTATTAGATCCCTAAAACCTCAGAAAATAGTGATTGCAATTTCCTACTGTAAGACTTTTAGAAAAAGCAGAAAATTCTAACGCTTGAGAAGCGCTTGAAAAACTGACACCTTTGCGTGAAAAATAGTTGCTTCTTCATTTACTTTAAATCGATTAACTGACTAATTAATTCCAGCTCAAGTGTGCACACTCTTGCGCACACAAATACTCTCACTTTCAAACACACACACACACTCACACAGAGCTTTGTGGGATGCCCACTCCGTGCCCTTTTAAGCAGACTTGGCAGTTTGGGCATGCACCAGCTAATCAGCTCGCCCAGCGTCTGGCCAAATGATCAGAGACTTATGAAACTGAGTTTAGTGGGTCTGCTCATGTGAGAGTGTGTGGTTGTCTGTGTGTGCATGTGTGTGGTGAGACCAGGATAGGGGAGGACTGTGTGAAAAGGTTTCTCCACAACAAACAGAAACTCAGACTGACCTCAAATTCACTCCCGTCAGCGGCATGTAAGTAATACGGAAGTGATCATCCATCAGGCTAATTACACTACGAACTCAAACGCTGACCGTGTGCTGTTTTAACAACAAATCAAGCCATTGTGTGGAAGTAGTGAAAATCATGAAGTTGCGGCCTTTTTCCCAGCATCAAAATATCCAGAGCAGCTTATAAGTCCTTTAATTGTGTTTCGATTTCCTAATTGCCCGAGGCACATAACATTTCCTTGCCTGATTGGACAAGTGGTAAAAAATTAATTAACACATCCTTTTTTTTCCGGCGCTGATGATTGAAGTAGCTAGGGACTGAGCCATCGCCATGCACAGTAGCGGTCGTGCACTCCCGAGAAAACAGCGGCAGGTAAAGACAAATTTTATGAGCCAAAGTTCAAGTGAGCATTTCAGTTATCCTGGAAACAGAAGTTTCGTTGGGTGGCGTGGGTGAAACTCCAACTATGTGTTGGGCAGTTTGATGCAGATATTGGAGCATGTAGAAACATTTATTTAAATCAAGACTAAACATGACAGTTAATTTAGTTAATTTGATATCCGCTAATAACTAACAGTTTATATAGGGCTAAGTCATTAATTTTTAAGAAGAACTACTTCTCCTTAACAAAAGTTTTTCTTCTGCTCTGAGGTAGATCTCAGTGAAGCTACAATCCCTTCAGATCTCTTACTTTATTCAGCTGTATTGAGACAAATATACTGTAATACTTTGACAGGACAGTTGCGCACACAGTTATAAACACGTGATATGCAGAGTGTCTGTGCAGGTAGCATGTAGCAGCGGTTGAGTACAAAGAGTTAACAGGACTATGGACATTTGAAATAATCAGAGTATTTAAAGCTTCCTCTGGGTGGTTGTTAGGCCGTGTTCAGGCTGACATTAGCACTGCATGAAAAAACGCAATCCCCTATTCATTTCAATGAGACCACTGTGCTGACACAGCAGGGTGCCCACACAGAGGACCCAGCAAAAAAAAAAAAAAAAGAGTTACATTTATGTACTGAGCACATTTAAAAATAACAGGTGTTGACCAAAGTGCTTTAAAGGGAAATTTAAAATATATCAAAATGATTTCAACAGAATTAAACTTAAATATACAAAATTAAAACTATTTTATTATCCCACAAAAAACTGGCCCAACTTTTATCTGCAACGCATTCCTGGTAGATTACTTTATAACTGTTAATTATTAATGTATTACAGTAGTTTATGTTGGAGGTGTAAAAGCAGAGAAGTGGTGATCTTGAACATTTCTTGTCACAGAACAATCAGTTTGTATGTTATAAATGGCTACCTGACACACCCCTCTCCCGTCTCGTCACTCCTCGTCCTAACAAAGTCAGAGATCTTCACCTCCACACTGTTTCTCCTCATTCTGCCTTTTTCTCATTTCCAAACTGCTCGTGTCTGCCTCTTCCCTGTCTCCCTCCGTCCCTCCCTTTCTCCCCCAGTGCCCTTCATGTGCGTTATCTTCCTGTGGCCATCCCTCCAGGCACCGGCCGGTGGTTGAACCTCTGACCCCTAGAGAGAGAGACTGATAGAGGCAGGCAGAGAGAGCGAGAGCAGACGGCCCAGGGGGTGGTTGGGCGTGGAGGGGCAGCTGCCTGCCCCCTGTGCTAAGCCTGCTATGGGGACCACGGCCAGCATTCACATTCAAATTCTACCAGGCGGAAGGAGCAAGGAAGCGATAGATGGAGGGATGGAGGGATAGAGCGGGAGGGAGGGAGGGGGCCTTAACGCGGTGAGGGCTGAGAGCTCGCAGAGGTGAAAAGTTTAACAAGCAAAGCTGTTCCTCCTGATCGCAGGCTGCCTAATCAGCTTCATGGGTGGCTGGCTAAATCGGCTCTCAACGCGACCCCCCACCCCACCGACCCCACAATCTTTTCTTTCTTTTTATTTCTCCTCCTTTCCAAGGTGCAAGTCATCTATTTTATTGCCACTTTCGCCCCAGCTTCTGTCTCCCTCTCTCGTGCTCTCTATTTCTCTGCCTCTTTCTTTTTTTTTTATTCTTCCCCTGCTTGTATAGACGGGAGAGTAAGTGAACAAGGTGGAAAAAAGAGAGAGGAGGGGGCTCTGAGACAAGGGAGGAACGGATGAACCGGATGTCTGGGGTCTCTCTCGGCAGGATTAGGAAACAGAGAATGAGGGATTGGGTGGATGGAGAGACGAGTAGAGGAAGGGATAGAAGGACAGGCTTGAATAAATAGAGAAGTGGGTCGTGATGTAGGAAATGGGAAGATAGAGGGGAGCAGAGGGAGGGAGAGTGGAGAAGGGTGAAGGAAGATATGTCAGAGAAAAGGGGGGGAGGGAGGGGGGAGCCAGGCAGCTGAGGGGGGGAGAGAAAAAGAGAGTGAAGGAGGGAGACAGAAAAGAAGGAGGCAGGGAAATGAGTGTGAGTGCATGGACACAGTGGGGATACTATTTATGCATGTGAGGGAGACGGGGTATCTACACATGTGCACACACACTCTCTTGCGTGTATGTGTGTGTTTGAGAGAAATTAAAATTCATGACTCTCTCTTCACAACCATTTGAGTAACAAGATTAAGATGGCGGGTTAGAAAATAGCGCTGGCATTATCAGGCTGCTTGCAGTCCCTCCAGCTGCTTGCCTCTCTATTCCACAACAGTGGGGATAAGAGGATAACGCGCTAGCCCTGTCTGCCCGTCCCAGCACACGCCTTACACTCACTCACACACACATATGCACGCACACACACACTACCGCTGCACACCGGGCCTGCCTGCCTGCTGTCTGCAGTCCCTCGAGTGTGTGTGTGTGTGTGTGTGTGAGGGCGAAAGTGTGTGTATGTTTGGAAAACTGCAGAGTAGCGAGCTGGGGGTCTAGAGATGGTTTATAAAGAACGGCTAAAAACACTCCCTGCTCTTTTTTTTCCCCACACACACACAAAGCAAACATTAAGACAGGCGGCATATTCCAAACAAAATCAAATCTGACGTGTGTCGAATCTGGCACAGCGAGGAATGCCAGTGCACTCACAGCTACCAGGGGTACGTTTGTTTAACGGCGTCGGTGCCAGATGGAGGGGCTTGTGAGTCGCTGTGGGAGAATGAACAGAAGTAAACTTGGCCTAAATGACAGATGAGGAAACTCAACCAATTACAAGATATTGTTGTGTGATGATTTCAGTTTTGA